GTAGACTTGCGTTGCCTCGGGCTGAGATGGGGGTAAGAAGGTGGTTATGGGGAAATAGAAAATGACTGCTGATGGGCACGAGGTTTCTTTAGGGGATGATAAAAATGTTTTTTAAATTGATCGTAGTGCTGGTGTCCACCTGTGCCTATGTTAAAAACCACCGAGCGGTACACTTTAAACAAGAGAAATGGTATGGCTAATAGATAATACGTCAAAAAAGTTTTGTGTATTTTTTTTTTTATTTTGGATTGAGAGTTATGGTAACCTCAATGAAAGCAGTTTCAGTAGAGTGCTAGAAATAGAAACCCAATGTAAGATAGTCTAGGAATTAATGGGAGGTGATAAAGTAGGAAACGAATGTCACCACTACTTTGAAGATGTGTGATAAAGGAGACAGGGTGGTATGAGAAAGGGGAGAAGTTAAATGGACTGTGATTTTATATATATACATATATATATATAATCAGTAAACAGAATTAAATTGAAACTATTAGATCCGGAGAGATCTAGGGCAAGGGGCAGTGACAGTTGCAAGGTTGCTGAAGTCCATAGAAACGTGAGTTTCAAACACTGGAAGAGGCTCTCACTTTTACCTGATTTAAAAGGAAGAAACAAACAAACAAAAAAAACCTTTCTTCCTACCATCTGCCTAGGTCTAGCTTTTTCTGTTGAAAGATAACATAGTTATTTGCTTTCTCTAAGAACTGCCATTATTTTATTTTTTTAGAAAGATTTGTGTTATTGGGGGATGGCCAGACTATAATCCCTTCTCTTCTATTCTCATCTTGGGGTTTGGGGCACACGCATACTCACACCAGGTGTGAGGTTCAAGCCATCAGGTCTGGGACTTAAACCAGGATCAGCCATGTAAGTCCAGTGCTTGAGCCACTATGCCACCTGCTGGCCCAGCCATTGTTATCTTTTTTTTTAAAGAAAACCTTTTGCCAGAGGACACCTGTACTTGCCAGAGACAGTGAGACAGAGAGGGAGAGGGCAAAAGCAACCTCCAATGGGGAAAGGTCATGCTGCAGTCGTTTCTCGTCCATTTCCCCATTCTGCCAGGATTGGGGGGGGGGCGCACACGCGTGCACACACACACACACACACACACACACACAGACCTGTCATGTTTTTCAAGCTGCTGAGGCCTGGATTTGAAATGTGAGGTCAGCCATGTGAGATCCAGATCCTTAAAGTACTAGGCTCCAGGGCCAGCCCTCCATCATTTTCATTTTAACAATCACCTTTTCTTTACTAGTCAGAATTAGATTCAGCTAAGGCAACAGACTACCTTACAAGAAATATTACAGTCCTGAAAGATTATAGCAATATACCTATTCTTTGATCTTGGAAATTGTCATTGACATAAAAGAAGTCAATTGGCAGTATCTCTAAAATGTTAACATTTTATTCATCCAAAAAATAGAACTAAAGCCATCTACAAGGAAGGGTATAGAACTGCAGTGTTTTCAAATTGCTAAACATTTTCCTCCCTCAGATTGTGGCCTAAATGACCACTTTGGAACTCTCTAACATATCCATGGAACATTCTAATTTACCTGTTCCTTAGAATTTAAAACTACCTGATAATGGTTTTTCTGCTAAACTCAATTTCTGAGCTAATTATTTCCCAAGTTAAGACCTACCAGTCTTTCTAAAATCTGTTTTCTTGGATGCTTAATCTCAACCTACGTTGAAAGCTCTTCTCAGAAACCCCTCATTATCAGTAAAGAGGTGGAATCTACTTTAACAATGTAGTGATCTTTATTACATTTCTTATCTCTAGGGCATAAACGATATACTGATAGATCCTCTTGATTCTGAGAAACACTGTTCAGAAATGTAACTGAAGGATTGTTACTGTAGGGGACTAGTTCAGAAGTGACATATTGAAGAAAGACCTAACCTCAGCAATTATTCAGGCAGGCAGCCATCTTGCCAGATCTCATTCTCATCAGTTGGAAGTAAGCTCAATGATGTGAATTTTAATTGAACAATTTGTATCTCTTGAGCGTGGTGGAAGACAATTTTTAACTTAACTGGTCCTTCTATAGACTTGTTAGCACAGAAGCCAGAAGCTACACAGTCCAGAGCTAATTTTGTTACAAAGACATGCAGCTCCTGATACACAGTGTTATGTCACCATTCTGCTCTCAGCCGTCCTGACTCATTCTCTGCATTGATGCTCACACTGAATTAACATAAATTCAAGGCCAAACTCTCCTCAGATCACCTTCGGAATATGCAATCATTTCTTTTTTGCTGTGTTAATAATCCCTTGTTACTCAGTTTTACTAATGCACACAAGATTCATTTTAAATGACAGTGGCTTTATTTATAGAAATGCTTAGTAGTTTGACACAGTGTCTAAAAGCACAGACACAACAGACCATGTGGTCTAAATCTGATCCTCAGCTCTGACATTTACCAGCTTATAACCTTTCTCTGTGCCTCTGCTGTCTCATAAGGAAAATGGGAATAACTTCACAAGGCTGTTGTTAATGGGATGAATTCTTTCACATAAAGTGCTTCATGTCAAGCACATTCAGTCTTCAGTAGATGTTAGCCATTATTATTAGCTTTTATTTCAAATTAAGTAAGAAAATTGCTCACATTATAAAATTTGAAGCTAAATTTTCAATATGGTATTAGGAAATTCGATAGTGCTGCAGGAATGATCAAGAGCTAAATAAGCGCTAAACAGAGAACCAAAAAAGGTTCAGTTGTAAGACAGAGGATCGAGATCATGGGTCTGACTTGTGACCACACCACCAACTGTGTGTCTCCAGGCCTTGCCGTGAAGGAAATGGCCTACACAGTCTCTAACGTGAATGCGTGTCTCTAACAATCTATAGAATTCCTTGAATTTGACTCTTTTGGTTCTGCCAGTGAACTAGAATTATTTACACAGTTCTGTATAGAATATAAATATCTACCGGAGAATTCTCATGACGTTAAAAAAAAAAAAAAAAAAATCTCATTCTCATCAGTTGGAAGTAAGCTCAATGATATGAATTTTAGTTGAACAATTTGTATCTCTTGAGCGTGGTGGAAGACAATTTTTAACTTAACTGGTCCTTCTATAGACTTGTTAGCACAGAAGCCAGAAGCTACACAGTCCAGAGCTAATTTTGTTACAAAGACATGCAGCTCCTGATACACAGTGTTATGTCACCATTCTGCTCTCAGCCGTCCTGACTCATTCTCTGCATTGATGCTCACACTGAATTAACATAAATTCAAGGCCAAACTCTCCTCAGATCACCTTCGGAATATGCAATCATTTCTTTTTTGCTGTGTTAATAATCCCTTGTTACTCAGTTTTACTAATGCACACAAGATTCATTTTAAATGACAGTGGCTTTATTTATAGAAATGCTTAGTAGTTTGACACAGTGTCTAAAAGCACAGACACAACAGACCATGTGGTCTAAATCTGATCCTCAGCTCTGACATTTACCAGCTTATAACCTTTCTCTGTGCCTCTGCTGTCTCATAAGGAAAATGGGAATAACTTCACAAGGCTGTTGTTAATGGGATGAATTCTTTCACATAAAGTGCTTCATGTCAAGCACATTCAGTCTTCAGTAGATGTTAGCCATTATTATTAGCTTTTATTTCAAATTAAGTAAGAAAATTGCTCACATTATAAAATTTGAAGCTAAATTTTCAATATGGTATTAGGAAATTCGATAGTGCTGCAGGAATGATCAAGAGCTAAATAAGCGCTAAACAGAGAACCAAAAAAGGTTCAGTTGTAAGACAGAGGATCGAGATCATGGGTCTGACTTGTGACCACACCACCAACTGTGTGTCTCCAGGCCTTGCCGTGAAGGAAATGGCCTACACAGTCTCTAACGTGAATGCGTGTCTCTAACAATCTATAGAATTCCTTGAATTTGACTCTTTTGGTTCTGCCAGTGAACTAGAATTATTTACACAGTTCTGTATAGAATATAAATATCTACCGGAGAATTCTCATGACGTTAAAAAAAAAAAAAAAAACCATAAAAAATAACACGGATAGATCCCAAAGTCCCAAGGAGGAGTTTGAGGAACCCTGTCCCCTTTATACATTTCTTGTGTGAACACTGCATTGAGACTTCCACTATGCAAGGCAGAAGAGAGGTTAAGAACCTTTCCAGGACTTTGTAATACAGGAGGAGTATCCCTTAACCCAAAATGCTTGGAACCAGGGCTATTTCAGGTTTTGAAATACTTGCATATAGATAATGGAATATGTTAGGGATAGAAACCAAGTATAAGCACAAAATTCATGTTTCATGAGGTTTTGCTGTTGTTTTTTTAGCCAGACAGCATGTGCTCTCATCAGAGAGGTGGAGACAGAGGTAGAGAGAAGGAACAGGAGAAAATACCCCTCAGTGGGTCGTGGTCACACTACAATCCCTTCTCCTTTATTCCTCCATCCCATTGAGATTTGGGGTATATACAAGCACACGCCTGGCACGTTTTTCAAGCTGTCAGGACCAAGGTTCAAACTGCCATCTGCCATGTGAAACCCAGCTCCTTTAACCACTAGGCTATGAGGCCAGCCCTGAAGGTAATTGTATACATTACTTTTGAATTGCTGCATTTGACTGCAACATGTCACACAAAGTCACGGGTGAATTTCACACTGTGGCATCATGTTGGTGCTCAAAAAACTAATTTTGGAACATTTCAGATTTCCAGATTAGGGCTGCCCAACTTGTACAACAATATTGAGAGACAGCCTAACTTTCTTGGAGCTGATCAAGGTGGGACTCTAACTTGTGACTCTATTTCTAATCCTGATAATTCTTATATTAATAATGTGATATTGCATAAACAGTTACTCAGGGAGAAACAAAATTGGTGGCACATGGTTTCAAGTATAATGAAGATGGCCTGATTTCTAGGATTACCAGAATTCCAAAAAACTTGCTTCATCTGAAATGAAAAGAAACTCATGAAAAATGACAGAATGATGGTATTTTTTACTGATTTATTTTAAAGTACAATATATAATAACTGAATATTTGATTAAAAAAAAGAGTTTGAAATAGAATTTTAAGCTCTTGGAAGTCTCTATTTAGGATACATTCACATACTTTGGGAAATCAAAATGCAGTTTTACAGGCAGATTCTTAAGCTATATGATGGCTAGTAACCAGCTTGAGGATTTTAAAAATAGATATTTACCAAAATGTAAAGAAATTCATTAAAATCTTTTATTAACATTATAAACATCTACCATATAATGCAGATGAATTCATCGATCTATTCAAAAATGGTTAAATCCCATATTTCATAATATTATCTTACAGTTACTCATTTAAATTTTTCATTAGACATGCTGGTTTAAACTCCCTTATGTTACCTGTACTAATACCAAGCACAGGTTTGAATTATATACATACATATATACACACAAAGTCTACATTTCCCCCTTTTCTAATGCTGCTTTATAAGAACATGCTTGGACTAAGGAACCATCAGAGCACAGCGAAGTGCTGCTTTAATTGCTTAATTAATTGCTGTGTATCTACATGATCTGGAAATGTCACTGCCGATTTCTGAGCAGCAATGTAGCTTCTCTGTAGATCTCCAATCTGTAAGAAACACAAGGATAAGAACACAGAGTGAGACCAGAAAATAGTGAATAAGGAAATAAACACATACAGACATCCTATCTGCATGCCGTAGAAACTCAAAGGAGTCTTAAAGGCAAACGGCTGGATTATGCTTCTTTGATTTTAGAATTCTCTCAGCTAGATTATAATTCAATCTTGGAAAATATATGAGAAAAATAAAATAGCCAACAATATAAATAATTCATGCCCCATGACAATTGTCATTATGGATTCAGAAACCTGTGTTTTCTCTTCCTGTCACTAATAGAACTATAAACACAGAATGACATTTGATGCTAAAACAGCCAGCTCCATAGCTTAGAAAACCTTATGAAAACTATTTGTAATTACCACAAAAACATAGTCTGATTAGGGTATTATCTTTTGGAGAGAAAATTCAAGCCAACTTTTTAATTTAAAATATAGTAACATGCTCTGAGAAGTTTAATTTATGCATTCTTTCCCAGTTTAACTTTTTTAAAAAATAAAATTTACCTTTACTTATATAAAAGTATATATTTAAAGTGTATACATGATGTTTTGTTTTGTTCTGTTTCTTATTGTGATTTCTGGTTTACATATTATCATTGTATGTCTCTGTGGGGCATCTAATATTTTGTCAAAACATGCACACTGTGTGTGATATCGAACTAAGGCTAGAGATATATTCATCTTTCTCAACATCAAACATCATGTTCTGCACATTCAATAACAGAATCAGTGTTTTTATTTTTTTTCTGAAAAGTTTTATAGGGCGCTGGTGTAGCAATATTGGAAGATACCTGGTTTCAAAGGTTTAAAAGGGTATCTGATTTTTCAATGAACTTTATATTAAAGTCCAGTCTCAAAGAAAAACACACATTCTATCTGAATCTGTCTGAATGTATCTTGATTCATGTTATACATTTCTGAAAAGAGAGTTTTTTAGTGTGTGCACATGAAAAAATCTAGATAATTCAATTAATTCCATACTAGTAGTTTTTTGGTAGCTAGCTATATTTTAAAAACATAAGCAAAGTTTCCTTTTTAAAATCATACTTCTTTATAACCTACTGTTTTCTTATGGAGTATGTGTAGACTTTTGCTTTAAGAAATACGTCATCTGAGTTATAAGTTTCTGACATGCAATAATGCTCATGAAGGAACGTAAGCAAGCCTTCTTTGTGGTCTAACCAAGCAGTGGCCTGGTGCGGTGGAAACACATGGGCATCACTGGGAGCTGGGTGGGCATTGGATCAGCCACTGCCAGGTGACTCCACGGAGACTCAGTGGAGTCTTTAGCCTCTAGGAGCCTCGGACTCCAGTACAATGAAAGCTGCATGAGGTAGAGGTTTTTGTCTGCTCTATTCATTGCTTCATCTTCTGTACTCACGACAGGGCCTTGTGTATAGCGGAGGCTCAATAACTGAAATATCAGTCGTATGAGAAAGGAAGGTGAGGGATACCTACACTGTGGGGTTGCTGAGAGTTCGGGAGGGGATGTAAATCTCCTAGCACAGTGGCTAGCAGGCACTCTAAAAACGACCACTTACAGGGCTAGGCAGTGGCGAAGTGGTAACTCAGCAGGATCCACAAGGAAAAGGTCCCAGGTTTGCATCCTGGGAACTCCCTGAACATGCCAGTCTACCTGCAATCCAAGCTGGCTAAGACTGGAGGGTCATTCTGGTATTCAGACCCTGACTGGAGGGTGGGGGAGGGAAGTCCCCTGTCTCTCTCTCTCTCTCTCTCTCTCTCTCTCTTTTGTGATGGAAGAAATAAATGTTAAAATATTACAACTTATGAATGACAGCTTATTTTATATCTGAAGCAGAATGAAGAGTGTAATAGCTTCATATTCATGGCATTAGAAATTATATTTTCATGTTTTTGGTCTAAAAGACTTACATCACAAACATTTTTAGCCATTTCCTTATTCTAAAGACAGATTCACCTTCCATGTTAAAGAAAATTTTCCAAGTAAAAGTTATTTATTAGATGCCTTTTGTTTGTTTCTTCCTAAAAATCAGACATGATTCCCTTTAATTTTTGGATATTAACTGACTTGCAACGAAGTTGTAACCATTGCATTTCCCCATATTACTTATAGTTTAAATAGTTTTCACTAAAATCCCTAATTTTACAGCAATCATTCCAGGGAACTGCTGGCAATACGATCTTACAAATAAACATACAGGATTTCCTTGCTGTAAAAGACAACAACTAAATCTCTCCAAACCAGGCATTATTGAATGAATATTTTTTCAATGACTAAATGCCATATTTTAAAGCATAAAATAATTCTTCAGTAATATATAATGGTGTTCAGTCAATATTCAGTGATGAAGTTATTCAAACTGTCCCTGGAAGTGAAAATGTGTGTGTATATATAATAATTAAGAGCTTAAAGTAATCATTTATTTCAGGGAGGCTAGGATTAAGGCAAGGGTTTCCTTATTTAGCTGTACTTTTTTTGAAATCAAGAAAGAAAAAGAAACAGATCAGATGATAAATGATAATAAAAAGAAGAGACTACCTTATCAGAGATTGTAGCAAAATTAAAATGTGGTTCATACATGTGGGGTGCTAATGACGACGCAGTTTGTAATAGCGCCCTTGCCTGTGTAAAAGAAAAAGGGAAAACAAAAGCATATGAACACGTATTAGCACCGTATTTGAGATTTTCTTCCAAAATAATTCTTCACCTAGATAGTACCTTAACAAATAAGATCTTGTAATAAAAACAGAAGGCATTCCTCATGAAATACAATGACTTACTGAAATACACTTAACTATTGATATCTTGCCCAAATTATGTTCATAATAAATGATTCAGGCTGACACTTAGCACAGCGGTTAAGCCCTGTGTGTAGGGAGTAGGATCCCGCCTGGCCGATCACAGTTCAAATCCCGGCCCAAATGACTTGAACACACAGAACACAGGTGTCCAAAATCCTAACAGGATGGAGAGTAGAGGACAAGGGATTGTGCATGACCGTGCTCTATTAGAGGGTGCTCTCTCTCTCTCTCTCTGGCAAGCACATGTGCCCTCTGACAATTGAACAAAATGTTAACATATCAATATAATATTTTAAATGCTTCAAAGGGCCAGACACAACCCCACATGGGTAGTTCCCAATTCAAACAGGAAGACCTCCCTGAATGCTCAACACACCTGCTTGTGATCTGGGACTGGCTGCAGCCAGGGTGGTTCAGAGCACAGGGCTCTGTTGGGTGCTCTCTCTCTCCCTCCCCTCTGTCTGTCTTTCATTCATGAGAAAATAAACATTAAAATTAAAGACATTAATGATTCAGAAGACATGAACAGTAAGAGACAAGAAAACTTAGAGTTGGTTTAAAATTACTTAAGGATCACTGTTTTCCTAATTCATATTTCAATATGACATATAATGCAACTTAAAATATAATCTTCTCAATGCTTAAAAAAAAAAAAAGGTCTTCATGGGGGTAGAAGGTTCATGGCAGCAGCTGACATGATAGTTAAGGTGCTGGACTCCCACATGGCTGACTGTGGTTCAAACCCTGGACTTAGCTGCTTAAAAATCACTCCAGGTGCATGTGCACATGTGCCCAAAATCCCAAGAGGAGAATGGAGGAGAAGGGATTATGGTATGGCCATCCCCTCAGGGGATGATTTCTCACTCCTCTCTCTCTCTCTCTGTCTCTCTCTCTCTCCAGAGAGTGCATATGCCTATGGCAAAAACCCAAAGGACAAAAGGTCTTCTTAATCTAATTTTTGTTGCTACAAATATCCACGTTAGATTGGTTAATTTTAGCTTATAAAATACAAATCCATCTTATTCACTTTGGGAGAATTTAGGAAACAGAGGCAGTATCCAATGACGTTTGTCTCCTTGTCTTTGTTAGACGTTCCTCGCTGTGCTCTGGGTACCAGCTTGGGGGTTATGTCCTGGTGTGCTGCTCATCATATCTGTGACCCTGGGAAAGGCTACTCACCCTTCTAGCAACTCCATTTTTTCATCTCTAAAGTGAGGACTGTAGTGATATTTACCTTTGATTGCCATTAATACTGTACAAACATATTTAATACTGTAAATTTTAATGTTTATGATAATACAATTTACTCAGCATCTATCATATGCTCATACTGTACTCCTACTACACCAGGGGATTTACAGGCTAACTCTCACAAAACACCTTCTGGTCAGTCCTATTATTACTCTATTTATATAAGAAGTCTTCACAAAGTTTGTGGTAAATGCATATCATGAAAAAGTATGCGTAGATTTCACTTTTTTTTCCTTTTTGTACCAAAATACACCAGTACTTCTGACTCAGGAATCCAGGGTGTGTGGGCTCCATATCCAATGCAGGAACAGCATTGAAACTGATTTTCTGTCTCACGCTCATGAAGAATTAGAGATGTGGATACAGAGAAGGAATCGCAAAGTGGAGTTTACTGAAGGAGAGAAGAGAGCTCCCAAGCAGGAAGCAGGTCCCGAATGGGCTGCCAAAGAGGAACTGAGGCAGGGGGTGGGGCAAGGGGGTTATCTTGGTTAGGAGGAGGTCTATCCGGGGTTGTCTTCAGAAGGGGCTTGTGCATGAGTTTCCCTTGGAGTGGGGTCACATGCTAGATGAGCCTGTCATCTTTCCTAATTTTGGAGTGGGTACAAAGAAGTTCTATCTAAAAGCTTCAGGCCATAAAAACCACTAATTAGTGGTCACAAGGATTCTTACATCATTTGAGCTCATGGTATGGGTGCCCTTCGGCCCTAACTGCGGCCCTTCGCTGAGACAGTTCCCATGTATTTTGGGCCTATCGGCTTATTTCATAGTTTCCATCTGACCTAGGCATTATATAGATTCCAAAGTCAGAAGTTATCTGACCCCTGGTCCCTGACTCTAATTGTCCTTCTATGTTATCTGCAGGGGAGGTTACAATTTCTGGTTCCATTTGGAATCCACCCACAGGGGCAAGCAATAAGGAGAAAGAAACAAGAGACTTCTTGTTTTCTCTCTTTCTTTCTTTCTCTTTCTTTCTTTCTCTCTTTCTTTCTTCTTTTTTGAGAGAGATTTTTTGCTACAGGACATGTGCACTCACTGGAAAAACAGAGAGACAGAAAACAAGAAATCACCCCCCAGGGGGTATGTCCATGCCACAATCCTTTCTCAGTTCTCCTCCTGGGATTTTGGGCATGTATGCACACACGCCCGGCAGGAGTTTTAAGCTATCAGATCTGGGCCTCAAAGGAGTCCAGTAATGTAACCATTACTCCATCTGCTAGTCCCAAGATAAACTAGATTTCTAAAGAAGCTAGATCCAGCTGGCTGGCTTTGTATGATCTTCTCATCATCTTTTTATCATGGCTTCCCTGGTTCTCTGTCTAACTAACTTCTACCTCACTTCCCACAGACCTATGAAGTCCTGTCATATATAACCATTCATTCCACTAACACTGAATGAATACCTACCATGTACCAGGCACGGTTTTCGATGCTGAGCATAATATAGCACTTACATGACAGAAAAGGTTCCTACTTTTATTTAGCTGACATTCTACAAATAAATATGAAAATATCTGGTAAAGTGATAAGTACTGTGAAGGTTAAAAAAAAAAAAAAAAAAAAAAAAAGGCAGGAGATGTGATAGCACCCCAGGGCTCCTTTAGACTAATATTTGAGATGGCCTTTCTAAGGACATGGCATTTAAGCTAAGACCTGAATGACAAGAAGAAGCTTATCACTGTAAGATCCGAAGGAAGAACATTCCAAGGCCCTAGAGGAAGGCTGAGACATCACTGCCCATCTGCAGAGCAGCAGGCAGGAATTGTCTGAGCAGTGGAGAGGAAGGAGTGGCAAAAGGTGTGGTCTGAGAGGGAAGCAGAGGCCAGGTTATATGGGATCTTATAGGCCATGGTCTGAAGTCCAGATTCTATTCCAAGGGCAAGGACAAGGCACCAAAAGATTTTAAGCAAAGATTTTAAAAGAAATCCCTTACGCTGATCTAAGGCAGATGCATCAAAGGATATTCTTACTTTCTGATGTAAGTGGGAACAAAAGACCAGCTAGGAGACAGTCATAGTAGTCCATGCAAGAGATGAGAGTCGTGCAGAGAAACAGGCAGGAGCGGGAAAGTGCCAGGTACAGAAGGTGCTATGACACTGAGGTAGGACTGACAGAGCTTGCTGACTAGGACATGGGTATGAATCAGGGAGAAGCAATAGGTAAAGAGGTTTTCAAGGGTGGCTTCTAAGATTTGGACTTGAGCAGCTAGATGGTGGATGTGGGATGGTGAGCAGTGGACCAGTCAGTTAAGATATAGAAGACTCAAGACCAGCAGTTGGCGTAATGGCTATGTCGCCAGACTCCCATGTAGTTGACCACGGTTCAAGTCCCTGACTCAGTGGCTTAATCTCACGGTGGCTGCATGTGTATACGTACCCAAGATCTTGAGAGGATAATGGAGAAGGGATTGCGGTGTGGCCATCTCCTCGGGGAGTGATTTCTTGCTTTCTATCTCTCTGTCTGTCTCTGTCATTCTGGCAAGCACAGAATGCGCCCTATAGCAAAAAGCTCTCCCCCCCAAAAAAAGATATGGAAGGCTGGGAGGGGCCAGGCCTGTGGCTTCATGGTTAAGGGAGCTGGATGCCACATGGCAGACCACATGGCTCAAATCTTGGACCTGACAGCTGAAAAACATGCCTGGCATGTGTGCATACACACCCCGAATCCTAATGGGATGAAGAAACGTAAGAAAAGGGATTGCACCATGACTATGCCCCAGTGGGGAGTACTTTCTCCCTCCCCCTCATCTTTCTCTGTGTCTCTCTGTCTCACTCTGATGAGCACATACACCCTCGGCGTTATAGAAAAAAAGAAAGATACAGAAGCCTGGAGAGGCACACATTTGTCCTTATAAAATTAAATGATCTATTTTGGATTCAGAATGGTTAAGTAGTTTGTCCAAGGTCACATAGTTAATATGTATGTGACAGAGCTGGGACTCAAATCCCAGTCCATCAGACTCTGGAACTCATTTTAAAACTAGAAAATATAACAAGAGCCATACATGACAGCTTTCCTTTGAAGAAAGCAGACAGCCGTGGTGCCACTGCTAGTTCACTGACCTGTTCCACGTGGCCCTTCCGCATCTCCAGCACAGCCAGGTTGTTGTAGGCCTCGGCGTGGTGGTTGTTATTGACCAGAGCCAGCCTGAAGCACTGATGGGCCAAACAGGTATCTCCTAGTCCCTGCAAAACAAAAGCATATATGCACACACACGGACCCACACACTTCCTCCTGCTGAGTTCTCCTTCTTCCCTCCTATAAATCTTTTCCTCTACCATGGACGAAGCAACACATACAACCATAGGAGTCACAAGTGAATTCTATGTAAGAGGATTCAACTTGGGACTATAAAATGAGCTATGATGATTCCTAGAAATCTTAAAGATTACCACGTAAGACAAGAGCGAACCTGGATTGTCAACACCTGACAAGTTCTCCAAACTAACCTTCTCTAACAGAAACTGCATCAGAAAAACAACATACCACAGCTACATGCCCCAAGTTGTACCAAACATCAGCTGTCTCTTCTTCATTTTCAGCCAGAGAAAGGGCACGTTCAAACGAGGTCAGAGTCATATCATACTGCTGGGCATAGAAGCAACACAGTCCCAGATTGTTAAAAAGCTGGCAGTTATAAACGCCCATCTGCAGGAGTCGCCTTTTTGTAAAAGAACACACAAATTCTGGAGTCAGACCAACTGCAAAAATATATGTAAATACACAGACACACACACATATATATATACACACACATATATATTTATAAAAATATATATGTTAAGACATATACATTTTTACAAAATTAGAAATAAATTCCTTTTATTATTTTTAACACTCCCTCAAAATACACACACAAAGTATTACAGTAAATTTTAAAAAAATGTTTAAAGCAAATACAAAAATGCATTATCTTCTGTAATGGTACTAGTCACATGATTGTGGCCAGAGGCATGGTCAGAAACAACCTCTTTAATTTTTTTTCCCCCTAAAAGCTTTGTTAAAGAACTAAAGTAAAAAGTAGTTACATAACGTAAAACATTGTAGTGTTATAATGCTTTGGTGCCCCAGGTAGATTCCTAAAAGCTTCTGATCTAATCTGAGCATTTATTTGCCTCTAGTTTTCAGCTGAGTTGGATCCTGTTTTGGGTGACCTGAACTTTGCGGGTAAGCTAAGTCCACTGCCCTCCAGTGAGCCTGCACTGAAGAAAACAAGACCTTCAGTGAATTCCCGTTATCCACTTGACTTTCACACTGCAGCCAGAGAGCCCCATTTGCTTTCATGCACCATTAATCCCAAGGGGCAAAGGACAAGCGAGTTCAAGTAAACAAATGAAAACCCGGCCCGGCTGTTTTGAGAAACCCATGACCCACTTTGGAGCAGGAGGGTAGAGTCAGCAGCGTGTGCTCGGTACAGCATTCCTATCACTATAGTTTACACTTCAAACGTGTACTTGGAAAGCACTCTCATCAGCTGCCAGTCATCTCTGGATATGACCCAATGGCTGAAGAGTAAGTCGTAACTTAAAACTTATTCTTATTGGGACCAGCAGATGGCGTAATGGTTCCATCACTGGACTCCCACATAGTCCACCCCTGGATCAAGTCTTGGCTTAAAACCCACGCCAGGTGCAGGTGCTTGCGTGCCCAAGATCCTGAGAGGCGAATGGAGGAGAAGGGACTTTGGCATAGCCATCCCCCATGGGGGGTGATTTCTCACTTTCTGTCTTTCTATCTGTCTGTCTCTCTTTCCAGCAAGTGCACATGCCCCATAGCAAAAAAATCTCTCTGAAAAGAAAATGATTCTTAGAAACCATATGTAGGATAAAATAAATATATGCTGTAAAGAGAACCAGTAAACACAATTTATTTCGACTTTGAAAAAATATTTGGACAAGAGTAGACAATATGTCACAAAACAGGTGACCTTGTTTCAGATTCTGATGAAGGTTTAGAACATGCTGCTCTTTGCCAATCTCTCGTACTATTCTGGCTTCAGTACCTTTTTTAACAATATGAATGGAGTCAGTGATGATGAAACTCTTTTAAGTAACTACTAAACTGTTTTTGGTTTATGATGAAATAGCTAATTCCTTGGCTGGTGTTTAAAACTCAGCCCACTATCCAGATGCTTCTGCAAGATGACAGACATCAGCACATTTCCAAATCACTGGGCGCCACTTGAATGCTCACGAACACCTGGGTGTTAGAATTTCTGTTTCACATAGACGTGGCCTACATACCATTTCTCTACATTTTCATTTTGTTCTTGCTTGTTTTTGCAATTTTGTTATGCTTCACCAGTATTTCATTGGGAATTCTACAAATTGAATGTAAAGCACACCTGTAAAACCGGAGAGCTACTTCGGGTTGATCAGAATAAAAGTGGTTGCTTCCAATGCATGCGATGGCTTCCACGTGGGTATTGTCTTGTTTTAATACTTCTTTGTAGTATTCAGTGGCTGATGAAATATTGTTCATTTCCTATTATCCAACAGGGCAAAAGCAAATCTTTACTAATATTGGACAAGAAAAAAAATGTTTCCTGGTTTATGTTCATTCAGTCAACAAATATTTATTGAGGGCCCACCATCTGCCGGACTCTGTTGTAGGCCTTAGGGACACAATATGATCCAAAGGATAAAGCCGCTGTCCTCAAAGAGGTTACATCAGGTAGGGAAGGCAAACAAATGAACAAACAGGTAACATCATGTCAGGCAAGAGTAAGTGATGTGAATGAAAACAGAGCAGGGAAAGGAGACAGAGAGAGGGAAGGCGGTGCTTTGGCACCTTCAGCAGGGTCACTTCAGAGGAGGTGCCTTTGGAACAGTAACCTGAATGAGTGAGGGATCAAGGCCTCCGTGTAAGATGGGAATGCACACGTCACACACAAAGAAGCACAAAGAGGCAAGTGAAGCTGGACAGAGGGAGGTGGCACAAAAGGAGATCAGAGAGACAGCCATGGCCTTTGTGAGCCACGGTAAGGATTTCTAAATGGAGAGGAAGCCATTGGAGGATTAAGAACACAGGTGCAACATAATCGTATTTATAAAGACTAGTTGGCTGCTAGGTGCAGGACATACCAAAACGGGGAAGAAGAGTGGCAGGAAGAGCGAGAATCCAGGAAAGAATCGGTGGCAACCCCATGTTCATAAAAGCACACAAAATTAAATACTAAAGAAACCTCTACAGTTATTATATACTCTTCCTAAAATACTGATAGTCATAAACAAAACATATCTGATGTGGCTACCTTCAAGAGGCGGCCCTATTGCCTAGTAGTTAGGGAGCCAGATCCCATGTGACCGACCACAGTTCAAATCCTGACCCCAGAGACTTGAAGATCACACTGGGCACCTGTGTGCATGACCAATATCCCCCGAAGATGGAGAAATAGAGAACGGATTGCAGCATGGTCATACCCCATTAGGGGGTGCTTTCTCTACCTCTATCTTTCACTGCACATGCCTCTGGCAGAAAACAACAAAAAAAACCCATTCATCTTCAAGGCCCATTTAAGGCTATACATTCTTCATAAAGATTTCCCTAATGTCCTTATTTTACATAGCTCTCTTCTGCCTTTCAACTCCAAGATGTTTTATTCTGTGAGCTGAAATATTTATATATTTATTCTTATCATATGATGGCTCATATTTTTTCTTAGATTTTAATCAGATCATATTTCATCAACTCGAAGACTTCACCGATTATAAACCACACAACGGTTTTTTAAACATAGGATTTTTATCTCATACTACTGACAGACCTACTTGGATTTATGCAGACACAGATTTTATCCTAGATCACTCTTCTGCATGCGTTATGCAAAGTATATCTACATAAAGAAAATAAACTGAATATATTAATAGTATTCCTATCACTTCTTCACACACAGAGGCAAATTCTTCTGATCTCCTTTTGGATTTGAGCATCAACGCTCAGGTTTTTCCATTTGGTATTGTTCACACATCGGTGAGACAGCATTCTTTTTTTTTTTAATGTTGATTGAGAATAATAATTGTATATATTTATGGGACGCAATGTGATGCTTTGATATATGTATTAGGGAGGTCTTCAAAAGTTCATAGAAAAAGCATATTATCAAAAGACTGCACAGATTTCAATTTGGGAGGGGGGATACCCAAATAAACTCTGACTTTAAATCCATTTTTCCAATTTTTTTTTGAAAGTTTACTATTTATTTCTCCCATAAGCAAGAGAGACAGATAGACAGCATCCCCAATAGGGTTTGGATGCCATGAGCCACTGGCAGTTTTCAGCCAGTCTGGGACCGTAGGCAAGTGTGTGCAGGGGGTGTTCAGGGAGTTCTCTGAGCTTGAACCAGAAACTTTCCCGTGTGGGATGGTCTCACAGAGCATCACATTTTACTGTTGCACCACCACTGTCCTCCTTGCATACATTGTAGAATGAGCAAATCAGGCTGATTGGCATATCTATCACTTCACATAATAACTTCTCTGCGGTGAGAACATTTACAATCCGCTTTCAGCATTTCTTAAAGTCTATTCATATAATTCATGGTAATATGTGCATGCGCACAAGAAAGAGAAAGAGAAAAAGAGAGAGGAAGAGAGGGTGAGAGGAGGAGAGAGAGAAAAGCACCCTTGACAGGGTCTCACCACACCGTGATCCCCTCTCCCCAGTCCCTCAGTTCCTTAGAGTCTTGGGTACCTGTGCACATGCCTGGCTTGCTTTCAGGTTGACCTGGAAATCCAGATCTGCAGTTGGCCACTTGGTTTCCAGCACTGCAGTTCAGATCGCTAACACCCGTACCACCAGGCTGGGTCCACTTAGCGTTTCTTAAAAATACGCTCCACTGTGGTCTCCAGAATTTACCTCCAAGCTACTAACAGTCACTTCACTACGCCGATGCCTGTGCTTTCTTGCTCTTACCAGCAGGTGTCTATAAAAGCTATCAGGCAAAAAACATCAGGAATAACAACCGAGTTTACCATGCTGTCAGGAATAATCACTAAGTTTCCATGTAAGCAATGACAACTACATAACAACTGCCACTTGGCCGCAGGATCAAAAGAATCTATCTACTGTGAGATGCAGCCAAAGACTAGAGGCATTAAAATGTGGACAATAATGTTTTCAGAATCCATAGAACATGGTAAGTTTCTTGAGACCATGTAGTATACCTGTTCTTAGCACCAAATTTGGTGTCTGGATCCTGGAAAATTAAGAAACAAAAATTAGGGCCAACAGGTGGCACAGAGGTTAAGGCAGCTGGATCCTATGTGACTGATTTCACAGTTCAAGTCCTAGATTCAGTGGCTTGAAATTCATGCTGGGCTCATATGCATGTGTGCCCAAAATCCAGAAAGGAGAACAGAGAAGGGACTGTGGTGTGTATATCCCCCCTGCAGGGTGATTTCTCATTCTCTCTCTCCCTCCTGGGAAGCACACATACCCTATAGCACATACTTTAAAAAAAAAAGAAAGAAAGAAAGAAAAGAAAAAAAAAGAAAAAAGAAAGAAAAGAAACAAGAGGGGCTGGCAGATGACATGGTGGTTAAAGGCACAGGCACTAGCCTCCCACGTGGCCAACTGTGGTTCAAGTCCTGGACCTAGTGGCTTGCTTTTTCATTTTCCCTCTCTCTCCATCTGTCTAATCAAACTGAAAAAAAATAATAATGGTAGTAGTAAATAAAGTTGAATAAAATAATTCTTTATAAAAGAAAGAAACAAGAATTGAACAATTTTTTTTTTCACTTTCATGCCGCCACCTAGAATAGAAGTTCTCTAACTTTTTGTTCTCAAGGTCCCTTTAAACGCTTAAAAACTGCTGAGAATCCCAAAGAAATTTTACTTATATAGGCCATATTGACTGGTATTGGAAATAGAAAGTGAAACATTTTTAGATACTTCGTAATTTATTCTAAATAACATGTAATAAATAAAATGAAATACACCTATTACATGATAGCAAAAATAACATGTTCTAATGAAAAATAACAGTCTCTCCTGAGGAGAGGTCTGTGTGCTGAGCAGCCCACCTCTGTGACAGGGTGGATTAGTCTATTTAACTCAGAGAGAGGCTGCTAAATCCTTTTGGCCATAGATCTAAAGCCACATGCTCCAATTCTGCTTTTATCAGTAATGAAGTTAATGGTTTGCCCTCCATTTGTCTAAATCTTGCATTTATCTCTCAGTTGTTTTTCAACTTGGAAGACCATGGGTGTTATTTATCAGTCTCATAAAACCCTCATAAAACATTCACCAGGTAATCTAAACCCGTGTTATCTGTCTGTCTATCCATATTTTATGTGCTTTATATTTGAAATTCTTATTCAAGGGCAACAGCTTCCCACAGAGCAAGGCTTCTGTACTACAACTGCCAAAAGTGTCAATCTGCAGTGGAAACACTCCAGCCTCAACACCCAGTTGGTTCAAGGCTTTGAGTTCCATAAAGTTACCTTAGAATTCTTACATACTTGATTGATGGGCACGGAAGTTAATTTATGTAATCTTAAGGAATTTTAAACTGAAACGCTTATTTTGTCAGCAACCTCATATATAAGTTTTTCAATTCAGTTTTATGAATTTGTAAAATGCATGTTTATGGTAAATAAATTTAAATACCACAAATGGGTACAAAATTAAAAGTCTCCTCCCCAAATCACAGTCAGCAGAGGCTTTGTTAATAATTTCTTGAATATTTTTCAAGAAATTTTGTTCATATATAAAGCACATGGCTATGCATGTTTTAGTCATGAACAGACTCATCCTATACATTCTAACATATAGTTTAATTAATTAATTAATTAACTTGAAAGAAAGATTTTTTTTTTTTTTTTTTTTTGCTATAAGGCACATGTGCTTGTCAGAGAGACAGAGAGAGAGAGATTGACAAAAAGTGAGAAATCATCCCACCCCCCCAGGGGGGTGGCCACACCACAGTCCCTTCTCTATTCTACTCTCAGGATTTGGGCACACATGCACACACACCCAGTGTGTTTTAAGCTGCCAGGTCTGGGACTCGAACCACGGACAACTACGTGAGAGTCCAGCAATGTAACCATCTTGCCATCTGCTGGTCCCTATACATTCTAGCACATAATTTTTTTACTTTCAGTGTGAATTCTCCTGTCTGGAGACCTCACAGAGTACACTAGACACCTGTGTGCCCATGATCCAGGCTGGCTGAAACCTATTGGTAGACTGTGATGTGAAGACCCTGTCAGGAATGCGATGTCTCAGTTTCTCTCTCCCTCTGACTCATGGAATAAGTAAATAAACTTTTTCAAAAAGACTGTACTTCATTTTTTTTCACTTATGCATAGTGGTCCACTGATACATAAACCATAATTTAACTAGTCCTCTCTTTTTTCGTGAGAGATTTTCGCTATAGGGCATGTGCACTTGCCAAAGAGACAGTGAGACAGAGAGACAGAAGTGAGAAATCGCCCCCCAGAATGATATCCATGCCACAATCTCTTCTTCTCCATTCTCCTCTC